AGGCAATCCACTCACCTCAGCCTCCCAAAGGCGCGGGATTACAGGCTGAGCCACTGAGCCCAGCTTATCTTCTTTCTTATACTTTTCATCTTTTGCTCCTCTGTGTTCTGAGTGAAAGCTTCCAATCAATAATTCTCTCTTCAGCTATATAGTTTACTGTTTAACTCATCTTTTGAGATTTTTATTTTTAGAAATTTTTTGGTTTATATTCACATTGGTCTGTTATTTCATAATATTATCTAATTTTTCTAAAGACTCTATTCCTTCTTTAATATCTTTGAATGGACTTTCTGGAACACTAGTAGGCATGGTAGCTTATGCCTGTAATCCCAGCACTTTGGGAGGCTGAGGCGGGAGGATTGCTTGAGCCCAAGGAGTCGAGACCAGTCTGGGCAATATAGCAAGACCCCGTCTCTACAAAAAAATTAAAAAATTAGCCAGGCATGGTGGCATACACCTGTAGTCCTACCTATTTGGGAGGCTGAGAAGGGCAAATTGCTGAAGCCCAGGAATCTGAAACGTTAGTGAGCCGTGATAGTGCCACTCCACTCCAGTCTGGGCAACAGAGTGAGATTCTGACTCAAAAGAAAAGGTTATTCAATGTTCAAGATGTATCAGAAAATTAACACTTGGACAATATACTCCTTGTTTTCTTTTGAAAGTTATTTCTATATATACATACTTATATAGTAAAAGACCTGGAGAGATGTACTCCAATATGTAAAGAGTAGTTAACTAAGGGAGAGGAGATGATTATTGATTTTACTGTATTTTCTGAACATGCTATAGTAAATATGTATATATAACTTTTGTAAAAAAAAAAAAAAATCCTTAAATTCAGTGGTTTATAGAGAAAAAAACAGACCGGGCTCAGTGGCTTAGCCTGCAATTTCAGCACTTTGGGAGGCCAAGGTGAGTGGATTGCCTGAGCCTGTAGGTTCGAGACCAACCCGGGCAACTTGACAAGACCTCATCTCTACAATAAATGAAAAATTAGCTGGGCATGGTAGCACACTCCTGTATTTCCGGCTACTTGGAAGGTTGAGGTGGAAGGATTGCTAGAGCCTAGCAGGTCAACACTGGGGTGGCTGTGAGTGTGCCATTGCACTCCAGCCTGGGCGGCAGAGGGAGACTCCACCTCAAACAAACAAAAGAAAAAGGAAAAAAACAGCATTAAGTTGAATATGTATTTAGAATAAATTGTAAAACTAATTGCTGGCTTTTAAAAATAATGGAAACTGATTTTAAAATGTTCTTAAAGAAATATTTCCCTTTTAGGTTTTTCTGTATGAGTGGAGAAGACAGTTGTTGCAAGTGGAAGTGACACAACATTTTTTTAGGATGTCTGAAGATGAAGAAAAAGTGAAATTACGCCGTCTTGAACCAGCTATCCAGAAATTCATTAAGATAGTAATCCCAACAGACCTGGAGAGGTTAAGAAAGCACCAGATAAATATTGAAAAGGTGAGCTTTTTCATTTTCTGCTGCAAGATGCAGTTACACAGTCTGATTTATATTTGTTGTTCATTTCAGGTAAATTTAGAATATTAGATAAGAGACTTTGCTGAAGCACCTAGCTCCTATTGATTTAACAACACTGTTCATTTTTTAGCTGGTTTTTCTGTTCTGCATGTAAACCTCTCATATATTCCTTTTTCTAGGAAGGGATATAGGAATAGAGTCTATACCTTTTTTTTTTTTTTTTTTTTGAGTTGGAGTCTCACTCTGTCACCCAGACTGGAGTGCAGTGGCCGCTCCCGGCCACCGCAGCCTCGACCTGCTGGGCTCAGGCGATCCTTCCGCCTCAGCCTTCCGAGTAGCCGGAATTACAGGCATGCGCTACCACGCCCAGCTGATTTTTTGATTTATTGTAGAGATGAGGTCTCATTGCCCAGGCGGGTCTCGAACCCGCGGTCTCAGGCAATCCACTCACCTCAGCCTCCCAAAGGCGCGGGATTACAGGCTAAGCCACCGAGCCCGGCTGAGTCTATACCTTTTTAATTGGATATGTTGGGGTTTTAGACAGTTAGTAATTAAGATGCAAACTGTTTTGATAGTACACCATCATATAAAGCCAGAGACCTCTGGCTAATATACCTGCCTTAATTTCATTGACCCATAGCAAGTTTTTTGAGTGGTGTCTATCAGTAGCTCCTATCCACTTTACATATACATATATTAAAGAAGAAAATAATTGTGGGATATGAGGGAATTTCCTTACTTTACTACTTCCCTTTGAGTAAAACCCACAACTGAGAAATACTGCCTAGGTCAATTGAGGAAACAGGTAGAGGAAAGATGAACTAGTCTCAGGTACTATGGTGGAGGTTGCATAGAACCTGTACTGACCATGGTGTGGTGGCATGGTTGTGGCATTTATGGAAACATCAGACTTACTGCTGAAGGGGGCTGGTTCTTATTACATTATAACAAATATAGAAATAAGTTGTTTACTTTTGATTGATCATCTCTGGTTAGGAAGTTTGATAAGGCGTATTTCAATGTCCTGAGATTGAAGGGCTTAGTTACAAGAATGACATGAATCTGGTAGATAATTGATTCTAAAAGGCTTGGAAGCAGGTAGACTGTTGTCTATTAAGACCATTTCTTTCTTTTATTGTCCTACTTTTCCTTTGAGGTTTGACATTCTTAGATTTACTTTATCTTATGTTTTTCTATACAAAAGTACCTGCTGTCAGTACCTTCAGATTCTAACCACATGTATCACCCAGTCAGTCATCAGTGGAAAATTCATGTGGGTGGGGATAGGAATGGTTATATTACTGGTTTGATTAGTTGTGCCAGGCATCGCAAGAAAATTATTCCACAATTACATTGATACCTATCTGCCAGATACTTTTTCTTTAGCATTTTGTGAAAATTTTAGACAATATCAGAACAATTATAATTACAATAGAGGTAATATTGTCTTAAGCCAAGCAGTTAAATTCATAGTGATCTATGTTTTATTCCATATCCTTGATCATTCCACTGTCTCTAGTATGTCTAGTTTGATTATGAAAGTGACTTTTTACCTATATAAGATTGAATAGCATATTTTAATAGATATGTTATAGCAATGTAAAAAACATTTAAAAGCTACAGAGCTCACTCTGGACAAAAGAGTTAAGAACTAAGTTTGGACTCCAGGTGTCTGACACTGCCTCACTTTCAAAAAGGCATATTATCCTTGGAAGAAAGGTGTAGAAAGATAAAATATTTATTATGCTGGACATCAGTCATCCAACATGAATTTAAAAGAAGAAAGTCAGACTGAAGGGAAATTGAAATTGAAGGTAAGCCTTAGTGGAGTGATTCTGCAACATCTGAAAAACAATGAGAGTAGTGTGCTGTGGACACCTGGGGCTGTATTCCATAGGTCCCTCATTTTATTACACATGATAAACTTGATTAGAATGTAGTAGTGAAATTTGAATTGTTAGCATTCGGCTTTCTTGGCTAATGTAAGATAGACTTAAGGAGAGTTAAAAGGAATAACAAAATAGTAAACTTAGAACATAATTTTCTTTGTTTCACATTATAGAGATTTGGGGAAAACTTAACAGTGTAGTTAGTTAGTATATGGATAAGGTGCATAAGGCAGAAAACCCAAAAATAGTGTTTAAATAAGATAGAGGGTCTTTTTTGTTCTGCTTTTGTTTTTAATATCATGGTAATGAACGTGGTCCAGGGCTACACTGGCAGCTCAACAGTCATTACAAACCTAGGTTCTCTTTATCTTATTCTTCCATCCTCAACTTGGTTCTGTCTTGTGTGTAAAATAGCCACCGCCATCACATCGACATTTCAGCTTAGGTGGAATACCAGAATTATACTTGTCCTGTGTCCTTTTTTCTCTTAGTGTGCTTGCACACACACACATATGCTCACACTGTCTTTTTGTTTTAAAGAGAAGCCTATTCTTTCCTGGATGCAGATAATATTATCTTTCTGTGGTAGTATTTTTTTTTTAAGTTTTCTTCTGAGTCTTTGTCTTTGTTTTCTCCAAATCTGTCTGTCCTTCTCTCCTTCTTTCCTTCTCTCGCTCTCTTCTGTCTCAGCATATGGAAATATAGGCTTTTCTTGGCTGACTGTTGATATTTAACAGTGGTAACTGGTTGGCATGTGTGTGAGTGTGTTTGTATGTGAAGATGAGTGAGTGGGGGCCTTGTTGGGGGACTTGTTGCTTGGAGGGGTAAACAGGTGAGGATATATTTTAATGGGGAACCACTAGATGTCAGTAACTCTAGGTCTTCTTAGCTATTCATTTCCTGGAGAGAGCAGCCCTCCAGTCTCCTACCTGTCGGGGTGTGTTTATTTTTTCAGAGGTGATAGTTGCGGCAGGGCTTGAGATGGGAAGGTTGGTGGGGTGGATATAGTATGAATACTGTGACCTGCTTTCTAAGCCATGGAAAGGAAAGTATGCAAGGAGGAGAGCAGGCTCACTGCCATTTAGAAATTTATTGAACAGGCTTAATCATTCTGGTTGTGGTATGGTGTTTCATCCCTGCCCTCAGCTATACTTGGTGTCTGGGTTTCCCAGCTTCTCTTATTTGGTCTCAAGGTATTTTCTTCTAAGGTATTTTCTTTTGTAGTGCTGGGACAGAGCAGTTGCTTGGGCAAGTGGAAGGGGGATCTGGTACACTACCCATTGGTTACACAAACTTTCATCCAGTCCTTCTGCTTTTCACCCCACCATATAACTCTACCTGGTTACCTGATAGATGCTACCTTCTGTTGTTTAGTCTTTCAGACAGAGTGGCGCTCTGTCTGTGGCTTGCTTCTTGCTGCCTGTTTCCCCCACCATCCACCCCTTCTGAGGCTTAAGTTTCAACTTTCTCTGCTTAGTCAGTTACAACATATCCATACATCTTTTCAGCTTCCAAAGTGTTGTTAAAATTTTTTGTCAACTATGTCTTCTGTTCGCATTATTCTTGTGAATTTATACTTTTTAACATTCTTTATTGGAACTGTAGTTCCATTTAGTGTAGTTTTGGAAAATAACAGATTAATATTTGTGTTTAATCTGCTAGGTTTAATGAGAAGGGAGATTATTAAAAGAAAAATAAATATTAGTTTTTCATAAGAAGTATTTATTGGTGTTTGCTGTTTCATAGATCCTTAGCATTGAAAAATATGTAAAAGGTACATTTCTAATATTCAAGAAGTTTGCAGTCCAATTAAGAAAATAAGATAGGAAATATTTAAAGTTATAAGAGGCAGCATGTAAATAGGTGTGAAAATGGATAGCGTGGACTATTCAAGCAACATGAACTCTGAACTATATAGTACAAAATGAGGCATAATTAATCATATTTATTTGTTTCTTAACCTATTATTATAATGAAAATCTTCTCCATTTCACTTTTTAGTCTGTGAATATCTATTTTAGTCTTTTAATCACCTTTCCCTACCCCTTTCCTTTTTTCTGACAGTACCCTGAATCAGTTTGCCTTCCTTTGTGTTTCAACATTGTCAAGCCTTAACACAGGTGGTGAATGATAATGAGTCTGATGAATATGGTAATTCCATTGTTGTCAGTGTTTGGTTACCAATGAACAATAGTCATATCTTATAGTTCTAACCAATTAGACTTGAGGGAAAGCCTGTTTGGAATATGGAAACTTCTCGAAAGATTTTCCTACTGTTACAAAGATATGCATGGAAGGAAACAGTACCCCTTCTTCAGCTGGGTCTTGTGTGTCTTCCTGTTGTATCTGGAACCATAGCCAATCCTCTTGCGGCCATTAGGGGACATATCTGAGGACAAAAGCTCCTTGTTTTGAACATAGTAAAACAGAAACAGAACTTGTAATCTTCTGAATTAAACTAACCTGGAATTACCCTACTTCTACACTGTTTTGTGTATGAGATAATAAATATACTTGTTATTAAAGCCATTTTTAACTTGAGTTTTCTTTTTTTGTAACCAAAAGCATACTGATTGGCTCAGGTTATAGCACTGCTTGAACCTACCTCTCTTGTGCCATTGTGCAAATAGACAATACATAAAAGATATTTTGTAAAAACTGTGCTGTTTAGCAATACTTGTCAGTGATCCTAACTTAACTAAATTTCTAAGAGGTTACTTTTTGTCATCTTTTTCACATATACTATTAAATCATTTTAAGTTTTTTCTCCTCTTCGAATATTTGGAATAATAACTTGTAGTAATATATTCTAACTTATTTATAAAATTGTGTAGCAAGCAGTAGAAATCTGAATTATTTTATTCTGTATTTTTCCCATAATTTATTGTGATAAAAGATGCCGGGTGTGATGTCTCACACCTGTAATCTCAGCAGTTTGGGAGGCAAAGGTGAGAGGACTACCTGTACCAGGCGTGAGACCAGCCTGTGCAACTTGGCGATACCTCATCTCCACAGTAAATCAAAAAGTTAACTGGGCATGGTAGCACACACCTGCAGTTCCAGCTACTTGGACGGCTGAGGTAGAAGGATCAC